AACTACACAAATCAGAGTTAAGAAGATAAATTTGATATACTTATAAAATATAGTAATTCAACAGAATTACATTGATCAATTTATTAAATGTATTAAAGAAATGCAGTATTTATAATGAATATGAGAAAATTGATATATAAAGGAGAAAGAATGAGTATGTATATACAAACTGAAAGGTGTATAAATAGATAAGTACAATACACATAAGGGTAAAAGTATTTGATGATAGGTAGATTTTTTCTTTTCTTCTTTGTATTGAAAAAAGATCAATTCATATACTGCTACATAACAAGGGGTAGGACTAGATAAGGTATTTACTTCTTCCTACTGCTTTGAACATAAAACTGTGATGATGTCTGTCATTATTTTTCTTTTCTTTTTATAATTTTTACTTGCCTTCACTTTTGTCAATCTGTTATTGTATTATATGTTCTATAGGTTCAATAAACAATAAACAAACAAACAAACAAACAAACATTGTTTTATTTCATTTACAATTATACTGTTGTTCTATGTACAATGCACAATCGATGCTGTTGCAATAACTTTTGCCGGAAGTATAGTAACGAAATAATTTTTCTAATCTTATTAATCGTGAAAATGGGGCAGGGATGAAATAAATTATCTTCTTCCCACTCCTTTTCAGGCTAGATCTTTGTAAAGTTTTGATTCGAAAATTACGTTTTGGTTGTCTTGTTTATTTTGACCGCAGTCCGAAATAAAATAATTAATGAGATGAATTAAATTAAAAATGGGTGGCTGAGGGAGCTGATTGGAAGACACAAGGGAACGGGTTGACAAGCGCAACAAGACATGACATGAACCACAAGACAATGAGACACAAAAGAAGAGACAAAACTAAAACACAGACCAAGACACTTTGAACGATAAATATTTTGGCTTTGTATTGTATTCAGTTGATTAGGTTGAAAAGCATTTGCAAATCATTGTATTCGTTTTTTATTAAGGTTTTATGCTACGTCCCAACTTCATTGGAATTGGAGTTTATATAATTATAAAGGTAGAATCTATTCACACAGACATTGGTCCTTGCACTGATTTCACTCCTCTCTGGAGAGATTCACAGTGAAATGTTTTCTCTGAGGACACAAATCCAGCAAGGTGTCATATCGTCGCTCAGAACTGCTTCTTGGCAACAAAGAATATCCTGTTAAGTTCTAAAATGCTTTTCAAGTTCAGTGTCATGGGGAATCTGAAGCTAACCTCATCTTTATTGCATTATAGACAGGGTAAACCTTGGATTGATGCACAGAAATAGGCATTCATACCTGCAGGTATGCACAATTTGGTCTGCAGTGACTCAACATTGAAGTAATATATTCTATCTGTAAATCCATTTGCTATACCGCTTGTCCTCATTAGAACTGCAGGTGAAATGGAGACAATCTTGGCTGAATTTGGGTGAGATGCTGGGTACACCCTTGAGGGTTTGCCAGCCAATCATAGTGCAAATATTATCTATCTATCTATCTATCTATCTATCTATCTATCTATCTATCTAT